GGTGTCAAGAGATGCCAACAGACACGTGAAAACATGCTGTCCTCAGCGGCCCCCATGGTGCATGTTCATGGTGCGTGTCCATGGTGCAAGTCCATGGTGCATGTCCATGGTGCGTGTCCATGGTGCGTGTCCATGGTGCGTGTCCATGGTGCATGTCCATGGTGCGTGTCCATGGTGCGTGTCCATGGTGCATGTCCATGGTGCGTGTCCATGGTGCGTGTCCATGGTGCATGTCCATGGTGCGTGTCCATGGTGCATGTCCATGGTGCGTGTCCATGGTGCGTGTCCATGGTGCGTGTCCATTGGTGCGTGTCCATGGTGCGTGTCCATGGTGCGTGTCCATGGTGCATGTCCATGGTGCGTGTCCATGGTGCATGTCCATGGTGCGTGTCCATGGTGCGTGTCCATGGTGCATGTCCATGGTGCGTGTCCATGGTGCGTGTCCATGGTGCATGTCCATGGTGCATGTCCATGGTGCGTGTCCATGGTGCGTGTCCATGGTGCGTGTCCATGGTGCATGTCCATGGTGCATGTCCATGGTGCGTGTCCATGGTGCGTGTCCATGGTGCATGTTCATGGTGCGTGTCCATGGTGCATGTTCATGGTGCGTGTCCATGGTGCATGTCCATGGTGCAAGTCCATGGTGCATGTTCATGGTGCGTGTCCATGGTGCATGTTCATGGTGCGTGTCCATGGTGCATGTCCATGGTGCGTGTCCATGGTGCGTGTCCATGGTGCATGTTCATGGTGCGTGTCCATGGTGCGTGTCCATGGTGCGTGTCCATGGTGCGTGTCCATGGTGCAAGTCCATGGTGCAAGTCCATGGTGCGTGTCCATGGTGCAAGTCCATGGTGCGTGTCCATGGTGCATGTTCATGGTGCATGTCCATGGTGCGTGTCCATGGTGCGTGTCCATGGTGCGTGTCCATGGTGCATGTCCATGGTGCATGTCCATGGTGCGTGTCCATGGTGCGTGTCCATGGTGCATGTCCATGGTGCGTGTCCATGGTGCGTGTCCATGGTGCGTGTCCATGGTGCATGTCCATGGTGCATGTCCATGGTGCGTGTCCATGGTGCGTGTCCATGGTGCATGTTCATGGTGCGTGTCCATGGTGCATGTTCATGTTCATGGTGCGTGTCCATGGTGCATGTCCATGGTGCAAGTCCATGGTGCATGTTCATGGTGCGTGTCCATGGTGCATGTTCATGGTGCGTGTCCATGGTGCATGTCCATGGTGCGTGTCCATGGTGCGTGTCCATGGTGCATGTTCATGGTGCGTGTCCATGGTGCGTGTCCATGGTGCGTGTCCATGGTGCGTGTCCATGGTGCAAGTCCATGGTGCAAGTCCATGGTGCGTGTCCATGGTGCAAGTCCATGGTGCGTGTCCATGGTGCATGTTCATGGTGCATGTCCATGGTGCATGTCCATGGTGCATGTTCATGGTGCATGTTCATACATGAATGAGTGAACAAGTGTGCAGTGAAAGTTGCAAAACTTAAATTTGTTTATGAATTTTTATCCCCTCATCCTCCCCGGCTTCCCGTTCTACTTTTACCGTAGGTAACAGCATAAAAGAGAAACCACTTTACCTCGGCCGTTTTTCGCTGTTCTTTTCCAAAAGAATAAGACAAAAAACTTAATCTGTCCCCAGCACAACTGACCACAAAACAAGAACGGACCATTTGATTTAGTAAAACCTCTCTACAAATGTCTAAAAACAGCTAACTCTCTATCATCCAGGTAGCTTTCTCTGCTCTATTACGTGACCGGCGGAAAAACTAAAAACAACGACATCACTCCAAGATCCTCCTGTGAAAGTGATGGTTATTGGATAATATAAATATTTAAGACTTATATTAAACCACAAAAATCACTTACATCTGCTTTAAGTTCTCTAACTGGTCTTTAAAAGTCTTAATGGCCTTGGACTTTGTTATCTTTCACTAAAGCTCTAACCCGATGAACCTTTCCGGCCTCATACATTCCTCCAGGTTCCTGGTCATTCCATAAGCCAGGACACACACTCACGATGAGGCGTCTTTCCACAGCCTCCCGGAAGAGCTCAGGACCTCACATGACACTTGACTTTTTAGATTAACTTTTGATTAGTATTTATTAATGCATTTTCTAAAAAAAATCTATTTATCCATTAGTCTCATTTTATTTTATTTATTAATTTTTATCATTATTGTTTTAGTATCCCCAGTGTTTCCAGCTGGGGTCTGGATCTTGGACTTGGTGGAGATATGGAGACTCGCCTTAATCTCTCCTCTGGGTTCTGTGTCATCCCTCTCTGCTCCTGCTGCAGGCTCACTATATATATATGGAGAGAAAGGAACCTGTGTTTTTTAGTCAAAATTCAGTTATTCAGAACTTATTATGGGGGGCATCAGGGTTTAGTCTCACGGTTATTAAGGCTGCTGCTCTTAACTTCCACTGTAGCAAACTTGGGTGAAATGAATGATGAATCCCATCTCCTGCTGTAAAGCCAGGACCATGTTATTCTTCCTCTGGTGTGGCGTGAACTTTCTACCTATGTCTCCATTTCATAAAACAAATCATCAACAAACAATGGCTGGGGCTGCGTCTTTCAAGCATTATCACAGTGGGACTTCCGTGTACGAGCCAGACCTGAATTCAAAAGGAAGTGGCTCAGCAGAACGGAGAGGAATCTGAATTTCAAAACTGTATGGAAGCTAAGAGCGATAATAAAGAGAGACACTGGGTTTAGAGCGGGCCCTGACCCCATGATGATCTCGCCTCCACAGACACACACTCTTTCTCTCTGACTCATTCTGTTGATGTGAGCAAAGAGATACAGCATTTGATAGGCAGTGATGGGAATAACGGCGTTACTAGTAACGGCGTTACTAACGCCGTTACTTTTTTCAGTAACGAGTAATCTAACTAATTACTTTGACAGTAACTATAACGCCGTTATCATTTCCGACATCCCGTTACTGCGCGTTACTCAAGACGCACAATGAACGTGTTGTCATGAGAGAAGGGAGGATGAGAAAACCTCTCAGCAATTATTGGCTGATGTAAATCATATTTCCTTTACAATCTACATGTCTACAGTTGAGAGGATGGCTCATAAATTGTGTTTTTGAAAGAAATATGGGTCTTAATCGCGCTCAACCACGGCTTGTATCACCGTGAGGCCAGCCTCAGAGGAGCGCATGTGAGCGCAGAAGTCGGCTTCATACAATTCCATCGATAAGCTCCTTGCTCTTCCTGGTTTATCTGCTAAGGACAGCAACAGGTTTGGCTAACATACATATAACACATTTTTACATAATCTAAAATGCACATAGGGTAATTTTTCAATTACTATAGGAATGATAAGAAAGAGAGGTGAAGTGTAAGACGGTTGATTTTAGAAATTGGATGCAGCCGGCTGCAGCAAAACAGAGGAGTTTACGGAGGACACACGCGTTTTGTTTTACTTTTTAAAACTCATTGGACTCATTTCCAAACGGAGGATTACATATCTACGCTCAAACCATTCACTGGATTTAAACAAGGAACTGGTCTGAACCGAAGTGGACTGTGCAGGTCATTTATAAGGTATAGCTATAAGGTAAGACCTATAACTCATAGTTTTGCGTTTTGTATGAACAAACAATGCGGGCATAAAACATATTTTGCTGTAGCCAAACAAATTGTCCACTTGATTTATATGATGTATATGTTCATCTGATTGGACTGAAGTCAGTGCTTCACCAGCCTCACCGCTCGTCACCGGTGTTTAGTGCTTTACAGCACAGAGAGAGATGAAGAGTGAACAGGACTTCAGCAGCAAAACAGCCTTTTCTAGATGGAAATATTGGCACTGTTAAAGGTAAAAATGCGCACGTCGAGTGCACATTATGTTCCAGAACAAAACGAAAAAGTAACGCAATAGTTACTTTTACTGGTAACTAGTTACTTTTATAGTGGAGTAACTCCGTTAGTAACTCAGTTACTTTTTGGGAGAAGTAACTAGTAACTATAACTAATTACTTTTTCAAAGTAACGTGCCCAACACTGGTCAGGGGCACTGTTAATCGCTCTTCAGCTGCTGCGTCCATAGAATTTTGCTGCACTAGCTGTTGTGAAAAACATAGCAAACAACACGTTGCTTCAACATCTTTGTCCGCTTGGACATCTTTGTCCAAGCGGACAACAATTCCTCGGTCGCTGGATGAGGGCAACCCCCTCCTCAGTTTGAGTAGAGGACACCGGCTTGAGCTCGATGATTCCACCAGAAACCAGAAGGTGTTTGTGGAGGTAGCGAAAAGGACGGAGCAGAATGATACCGGCGAACATCACAGTGCAGAGAAAAGTTAAGAAGCTTAAAAGTAACTACTGTGAAATGAAAGATCACAACAGCAGAAGTAGAGGCAGAACCAAAAAGTCTGGAGGTGGTTTGACCAAATGGATTATATTTACGGAAATCGGCAAACACCAGCTAACACGCTTACACCAGAGACACCAGGAGAGAAGCCTCAACACTACTTTGTCCCAGATGTTGAGTTTGAGAGAAATGGTGAGTCAGAATCAGAATCAGAATCAGAATCATTTTTATTACCAACGTAAGTAACAGGAGGTCACAGACTTGGAAATTGCTTTGGCTCAGTGCAACAGTCAAAAAGAGATAATAAAAATAAGAATAAAAAACACTTCTAAAGAATAAATTTAAATTTAAAATAGAGTTACAGTTACTATTTACAATATACAAGTGCACATGGTGCACACAATGTAAGGTGACAGCAGTACAGTGAAGTAAAGTGACGTATGATGGGCAGTAAAGTGACTTTATAAAGGGCGGGGGGACAGGTTACGAAGTGTTCAAGAGTCCAACAGCAGAGGGGAAGAAACTGTTCTTGTGGCGGGAGGTTCTAGTCCTGATGGACCGCAGCCTCCTGCCTGAGGGGAGTGGTTGGAATAGTCCATGTGCAGGGTGAGAGGGGTCGGCTGTGATACGACCAGCCCGGCCTCGAGCTCGGGCGACGTACAGGTCCTGCAGCGATGGAAGGCTGCGGCCGATCACTTCCTCTGCAGAGCGCACAATGCGCTGTAGTCTCTGTTTGTCCCTGACTGTGGCTCCAGCGAACCACACGGTGACGGAGGAGGTGAGGATGGACTCGATGATGGCCGTGTAGAACTGCACCAACATCTGTGCAGGCAGCTTGGCTTTCCTGAGCTGCCGCAGGAAGTACATCCTCTGCTGGGCCTTCTTGATGAGGGAGCTGATGGTCGGCTCCCACTTGAGGTCCTGGGTGATGGTGGTGCCCAGGAAACGGAAGGACTCCACAGAGGTGATGGGGGAGTCCATCACGGAGGGTGGGGGTGGGGGGACAGTGCTCTTCCTGAAGTCCACAATCATCTCCACTGTCTTCTGGGCGTTCAGCTCCAGGTTGTTACCACTGCACCAGGACACCAGCCGGTCCACCTCCCTCCTGTAGGCGGACTCATCGTTGTTGGAGATGAGTCCAATGAGGGTGGTGTCGTCCGCGAACTTGATCAGCTTCACGGAGTCGTGGCTGGAGGTGCAGTGGTTGGTGTACAGGGAGAAGAGCAGGGGAGAAAGAAAACAGCCCTGTGGGGCTCCTGTATTTATAATCCGAGAGTCCGAGACATTCTTCCCCAGACGCACTCGCTGCTTCCTGTCCGTCAGGAAGTCAGTGATCCACCTGCAGGTGGAATCGGGCACGTTGAGCTGGGAGAGCTTGTCCTGGAGCAGGGATGGCAGGATTGTGTTGAAGGCAGAGCTGAAGTCCACGAACAGGACCCTGGCGTAGGTCCCCGGGGAGTCCAGGTGCTGTAGGATGTGGTGGAGGGCCAGGTTAATGGCGTCGTCTACAGATCTGTTGGCTCTGTAGGCGAACTGCAGGGGGTCCAGGAGGGGGGAGGTGAGGGACTTGAGATGGGAGAGAACCAGGCGTTCAAATGACTTCATGACGACAGACGTAAGTGCTACAGGTCTGTAGTCATTGAGTCCTGTGATCCTGGGCTTCTTCGGGACGGGGACAATGATGGAGGATTTGAAGCAGGCTGGGACATGGCAGGACTGCAGAGAGGTGTTGAAAATGTCCGTGAACACAGGAGTAAGCTCACTGGCGCAGTGTCTCAGAGTGGCCGGAGACACGTGGTCCGGGCCAGGAGCTTTGCGGGGGTGCAGCCTCAAGAAGAGTTGTTTAATCTCTTTAGCGGCTATTGTTAGGCTGGGGGCAGGGCTGATGGGTGGGTCGTTAGAGTAGTGGGGGGTGGGGGAGGGAGAGGTGTCAGGGGCAGCATCAAAGCGACTGAAAAATAAGTTCAGTTCGTCAGCTAGCTTGTGGTCATCAGCACAGGGGGGGGCTTTGGGTTTGTAGTTGGTGATCTCCCGTAGGCCCCTCCAGACAGAAGCAGTATCGTTGTTACCAAACTGCTCCTGTAGTCGTTCTCTGTGCCGGGACTTGGCTGCTTTCAGTTCTTTCCTGAACTGATATTTAGCTGCTTTGTAGCCGCTGCGGTCCCCCTCCCTGAAAGCAGACTCCTTTGCTTTCCTGAGCTGCCGGAGTTTAGCAGTGAACCAGGGTTTGTCGTTGTTATAGATGACCCTGGTCCTTGTTGGAATGATGCTATCCTCACAGAAGTGAATGTATGACGTCACAGTGTCCGTGTATTCATCCAAACTGTCTGTGGCAGCTCTGAAAAGGTCCCAGTCTGTGGATTCCATGCATGCGCGCAGCTCTTCCACAGCTTCATCAGACCACACTTTGGAGCTCCTCACTGCAGGTTTCGAGAGCTTTAGTCTCTGTCTGTAAGCAGGAACCAGATGTATCATGGAGTGATCTGAGAAGCCGAGGGCTGGCTTGGGAACAGCGCGAAAAGCTCCGTGCACGGTGGTGTAACAGTGATCCAGAGTGTTCTCCTCTCTGGTCGGGCATTTGATAAACTGTCTGTATTTGGGTAATTCCTGGCTCAAGTTTCCCTTATTAAAATCCCCCAGGATAATAATCAGAGAGTCCGGGTATAAACGTTCCATACACAGTACTTGCTCTGCGAGTGCGCGCTGAGCCTCGCGCGCATCCGCGCATGGCGGTATGTAAACAGAGGCAAGAATGAATGAAACAATTTCCCGCGGGGAGTAATATGGTTTACAATGAATGAAAAGATATTCCAGAGCAGGAGAGCAGTGCTTGAGATCACTGTCACATCGTTACACCAGTTTGTATTGACGTAGAAACACAGCCCTCCGCCTCTGCTCTTCCCTGAGAGCGCACAATGGCGATCCGCGCGGAACAGCCCAAAGCCCTGCAGCTCCAGAGCACAGTCCGGGATCCGCTCATTTAGCCAGGTCTCAGTGAAGCAGAGGACACAGGATGTGGCGAAGTCCTTGTTTCTTCTCATGAGCAGGCTGAGTTCGTCCATCTTATTGCCCAGTGAGCGTACGTTGGAGAGAAAAATGCCGGGGAGAGCCGTGCGCGCTCCTCTTCTCCTAAGACGCACCAGCAGGCCTCCGCGCTTTCCCCTTTTACGGGCCCACACTTTTTTGGCTAGAACATGAACTAAATGTGTCTGTCTTCAATCAAATGAAAAAGTATGGTCTTATACTGAACCTGTGTCTGTGGTTCTAAAGTCTAAAACAGCTAAAGTGGTGTTGAGGCTATGTGTCACATCTTTATTTGGGTTGTCAAAATTATCGCGTTAACTCATTTTAATTACATTTTTCATTAATCACGTAAAAATAATAGTTTTTAATTTTTCTATTTTTTTACTTTTATTGAAACAAAACAAAGCTGAAAGATCAAGGCTGTTTCACAATTAACGGAGCAACCATCTCACCCCCTGCAGAAGATCAGCGAGGGACTGGTGCTATGAGTGTTGGGTGGCAGCTCTCATTGCCAGCCCCCCGATCCAGAAATGGACAAAGGGGTTGAAAATGAAATGAAATAAAATGAAATGAAAATGAAACAAAACAAATCCTTGAAATGGTCACACGCATTGTTTGACATCTTGTTTACAAAGAAAAAGAAACAGCCTCACATTGTGTACAATCCAAAACGGGAGGGAGAAAGAAGAAACAATGAATGGACAAACAATTTAGTCAAATGAGACTATTTTGTTAGGTATGCGTTTATAGGGGCCCAATTGTTCCAATAAATGTCCTTCTTCAGTCGTAAAATTGCAGTGATTTCTTCCATACGGCTCACAGATTTCATTCTTTGAGTCCATTGGTCCAAAGTGGGGGAATTCGGTTTTGAGCCAGTTAGTTGTAATTACTTTGTGGGCAACCAGAGCCAGAACTTTTAACATACACTTTTACCTTTTCTTTGACTTCAGATATATTGCCTCTGAGTATTATATTAAAGATGTGGTATGATACTTTTATATTTAAAATCTTATATATCTCCTCCTTCACCCTTTCCCAGTACATTAGCACCATGGGACATTCCCAGAAAATATGTGAAAAGTCACCTTTTACCCCACAATTTCGCCAACAGAGGGCAATTGTGTTATTATTGAAAATAGCAATTACACAATGGGGTTTGGAAAAATCTAATTCTTAACTTCCAATATGGACTGTTGAGACATTTATGCCACTTGACCCATGACTGTTCCCAATCTGAATAAGGGATTACTGTGTTGAGCTCTAATTTCCATTTATTCTTATCGAATGTATTTTCATTTTGTTTTTTGCGTCTAATTTTGTGTAATGAAGAGATCATCTTTTTACAGGGATGATAAATCTAATTGAAGATTAAATTAGATTAAATCTAATCTTTTAAAAATATTATCCATCTTTTCGTTATTTTGAGGGTTGTCAGGGGTATATAGCTTTTCATAAAAATCTCAAAGTGCATCTGCAATTTGCTCTGGGTGTGAAATTTATTTTCTTGTTGTCGGGTGCTTGATTGCTGGCACTGCACGACTAGCCTGTATTTAAACTTCCGGGTCTGTGTTTGTGGTAGACGTGTTCCTTGCTGCTCCACTTGTTTCGCTTTGTAATCTCTTTTAAGTATTTTATTTACATTTTTATTCTACAAAACACGGATTATTCTTTCTACAGACTTCAACTTTGTGAAATTTGTCAACATTAGTCATGTCTGGACAGAAGAAACGGAGAAAAGTCTGTGATGCTCTGGAATATCAGCTCAAATCTCTCCAAAAACGGATGGATATTTTGGAAACAGAAATGGGAGTTAACCAGACTCTTCCAATGTGTGAAAATGGGATAAGTGGACAGACTGCCGAAAATGTAAGTTAAGTCTGGTTCACACGAGACGATTTTAAAATTGTTGGCCGATTTTTTTCTCCGCGTGAGACCTCACACGGAGAACAAAATCGGCCAACAATTTTAAAATCGTCTCGTGTGACCACACACATCACAAACCACACACATCACACAAACCGATTTCACCCCCGAGCATTCACAGGTCACCGGAAATCTCACAACATCTCTCGAGATCAAGCGGGACTTCAGAGTAAACAGAGTGTGCAGGCCTCTCCGCTTCACGCAGCCTATAGAGACTCTCGTCTGACCACAGCAGCCACAGACACCATGATGACAAACACATACATGTGGATTTTACTGCTCTACAGTTCTCTGGCCCGTGCTGTCTGTGCTGTTCAACAATACAGTTTGTACGGACTACCTGTGAACGCATCACACACACTGCTAGACATTAAACTTTACATACGCGCAAACCAACAAGCACGGCTGCAGTAACGGCTGCACCAACACTTCTGTACTGTATTAGGACAGAGTGCAAAGTAAACGTACAAACACAACCCATCAGTCTGATCATTTAGTGTACTAATCCCGTCCGAATAGGGCTTATGCCAACACTACCTGTGCAGCAGCAATTTCTGCCCAATTCCTCTCCTTGTCGGTGATAATATTCTTTACACGACACGTCATACATACATACGTTCACGGTGTTGCGTTGCCAGAGGTCATCTAGATGTTCCTCCATCTCTGATGTCCACCGAGCTTTCTGGTGCGCCACGCCGCTGACTGTTTTGGTTATTTTACGGTGTTTCCTCGCCGGCTCGTCTCGTCTTCTGATTGGCTACACACCGCAGTCATGGCAACGCACTCGTCTGTCCTCGGGGGACACCACACACGGAGATAAATCGGGCCAAAACAATCCAACATGTTGGATATCCCCGACATTGAGATCGAAGCAGTCCCGAAGTCCTTCCGAGCGACGAGCGCAGTCTTAACACACCACACACGGCAGGACAATCCATCAGATTTTTTGTTACGATATTCGGAGCGTTCTTACGGTTGTCGTAGGGGTAGCCTGGTTGTACCACACCTTAGTACAAATTTCATTTCAAACTAAGGTCTGGATTTGCTCCATTGAGCTCCGTGAACAGGTGGGAGGGGTTAACTCCTTTTGCAGATTGAATTGATTGGATCTGAGTTTACTGTGACGTATGTAGTGTGCCCGAGTGTGTTGTTAGCATTTAGCCTAGCTTTAGCCATCTCCTTTGCTGCTAACGGAGCCCGTGGGGAGTAGCGCCACAATCTTGACCAGCGATTACATTTGCTAAACATTCCTCTTGCTCCTGCTTCAATTTCTTGATAGAACCAGACCGGATTACTTTACTATTGCATTCTTCGCCACTGCCAAATCACAACCTGCCCGTTTGGCGCAAACTCTTGACGTCACTGGCACCGACCTACAACACCCGCCTTCCGCGCTCTCTGAGTAGCCGGTCGAAATACGACCGATTGTATTCGCTAAAACAGGGACCAGACCCAGACGGTTACACACTGTGAAATGATGATTGAGCGGAGTGTACGGATGGCTATGGCCAGGCCATTGTAGGGGTAAATCGGGTCCAAAATCGGCCTAATTATCCTGCCGTGTGAACCAGGCTTTACGATGATGACGTAATATCTTTTCCCTAAATCAACAAAGAGAACTTTTGGATCAAAAGTTGGGAAGATGAGCGAGAAGCTGAGAAAGGATTTAACTCTGCTATTGGACGACCTTAAAAAAATGGACATACACATTTTTATCAGTGGACCACTTCCAAAAATAGATGGAAAAATTGAGAAGTTTAGTCGTCTGTACCAGCTAAATACACTTCTACTCACCGAGTGTTCACGCAGAGGACTTGGATTCATTGAGAACTTTAATCTGTTCTGGAATAGGCACAAGCTTTTTGAAGGAAAAGGCCCACATTTGAACAAATACGGAGTAAAAGTGTTGATGGATAACTTTGCATCTGCCCTAAGACCTCAGCCTGTGCAGCGCGTGCAGCCGTTGAAAGGGAGGAAGAAGCAAAGGGCTACTTCTGCACAGACATCACGACTTTCCCCAAGGAACCCAGAGGTCTCTGCACCTCCGCCGCCTCGAAAGAACTCAACACCTCCACCAGCATCATCATCAGCAGCGGATACAGCACCAGCAGCAGCAGTGGCTGCCACAGCGTCATCAGCGCCACCAGCAGCAGCGGATACAGCACCAGCAGTGCCCCCCCCCCATTGCTCCAGGCCTGTACTGAGGGCCTCTCAACCACCTCCGTCTCCTCCAAAGACTCGCTCATCACCTTACGATTTGGGTCCCCCCTGCCACATCCACTCCATCTAGGGAAAATGATGACGGCCTTTACCTTTGTTTTCCCTCCCCGTCTTCACTACTGGAATTACCGGAACACTCTGCAGGCATGATAAGATCGGCGATGAAGACTTTTCCTCTCACACCCACTTTAGCCTTATCAAGAGTCCTATCTAACATTCATAACTACTCTCCATACGTACCTCCAAAGACACCTAGGGCATCCAACTCAAATTCACCCATAAAATCCACCTGTCCCTCCCCTAACCCCAAAACCATTCCAACCCCACCTCCCCCTCCCCCCTATCCCACCACCAAGAACTCCTCCACCTCTACTCCCCCCTCGTCCATCACCCAACTCCTGCCCCTCCCCTAACGCACCATGCTTTGAAGATGAAATGTGGCTGGGTCTTCCAGCATGACAATGATCCCAAACACACCGCCCGGGCATCGAAGGAGAGTAAGAAGCATTTGAAAGTCCTGGAGTGGCCTAGCCAGTCTCCAGACCACCCCATTGAAAAACTTTGGAGGGAGTTGAAAGTCTGTGTTGCTCGGCGACAGCCCCGAAACATGGAGGAATGGGCCAAAATACCAGCTTATGTGTGTGCAAACCTGGTAAAGACCTATAGTAATCGTTTGACCTCTGTTATTGCCAACAAAGGTTATATTACAAAGTATTGAGTTGAATTTTTGTTATTGACCAAATACTTATTTTCCACCATAATTTACAAAAAAATTCTTTAAAAATCCTACAATGTGAATTCCTGGATTTCTTTTCTCATTCTGTCTCTCACAGTTGAAGTGTACCTATGATGAAAATTACAGACCTCTGTCATTATTTTAAGTTTTTTAACTTGCTCAATCGGTGGCTGACTAAATACTTTTTTGCCCCACTGTATGTGTCTTTTAAAATACAACAAAAACAATCTCCTCCAATACTCTTCATTGTCCTATACAAGCCACCGCAGTCATGTCACAATTTTATTGAGTTGCTTTCAGTTGTATGTACAGATTTTGATAGTTTAGTTATTACAGGGGATTTTAATATTCATGCGGATTATGTTAATGACAGAAATGCAAAAGAGCTGAGTTCTTTACTTGATACCTTTGGTCTCACTCAGCACGTGAGTGGCCCCCCCACAGCAGAGGGCACACACTAGACCTGTTAGTTACTAAGGGGGTGAATATTTCAAATGTAAACGTGGTCAATGTTGCTCTTTCGGATCATTTTTGTGTTTTTTTTGACATGTGTTTCACTAACAAACCACCAGTGGACTCTGCAAGTGTTCGAAGAAGACACATAAATGAAAATACGAGTGAACTATTCATGGGAATGATAAACTTTACTTGCTGTATTCCCTGAGTGTTTCAATCAAGATGCCTTCACCGTGACTCAGGAGGATGTCAGGCGTGTCTTGTCCAGGACCACAGTCCGAAAAGCCCCTGGCCCGGACGGCATCCCTCCTCGTGTCCTAAAACTGTGCTCTGAGCAACTTGCCCCTGTTTTAACAGACATTTTCAACCTGTCGCTTAGGAACTGTACTGTGCCGAACTGCTTTAAAGAGTCGACCATTATCTCAGTTCCTAAGAAAACTCCCGTGACATGCCTTAATGACGATCGTCCTGTGGCTCTCACGTCTGTCCTTATGATAACTTTTGAGCGGACTTCATTAAGAGCCAGATCCCTGTGAGTGTTGACCTGCTCCAGTTTGCTTACAGACAGAACAGGAGTGTTGAGGATGCCATCTCCTTTGCTCTGAACTCTGTCTACAGTCAATTAGACAATAGTAAATCTGTCGCGAGAATCCTTTTAATTGATTATAGCTCTGCTTTTAATTGCCTTGTCCCAGGTAAACTGATTGAAAAGCTCATGTCTCTCGATTTAAGTGTTGTCATGTGTAAATGGATTTTTAGCTTTTTTAATTGACAGATCTCAGAGAGTGAAAATCAATGACTGTTTTTCAGATGCTGTTTCTGTGAGCACCGGATCTCCTCAGGGATGTATTTTGAGTCCTTTACTTTTTACATTGTACACTCAAGATTGTGTGTCTTCCTCTGACTCTAATTTGATAATTAAATATGCTGATGACACCATCATTGGTCTCATCAGTGATAATGATGAATCCTCTTATAGAGCAGACATCCAAAATGTGGTTCAGTGGAGTAAAGCTAACAATCTCCAGCTGAACGCATCGAAAACATGTGAACTGGTCTTCGACTTCAGTCGCAATAGTTCTCATTTGCCCGTCGCAATCAATAACTCCCAAGTGCAGATTGAAGAGGAGTGCAAGTTTCTGGGTTTAACTGTCTAACGACCTGAAATTGGTCAAAAACACTGACCGAGTCGTTAAGAAAGCTCGTCAGCGTCTCTACTTTCTGCGTAAACTTAGAGAGTAACTCTAAGATTCTGCTTAACTTTTATCGCTGCACCATTGAGTTTGCTTGTTGGCTCTGTGTCTGTGTGGTTTGGAAACATCACAGACAAAGAAAAGAGCGTTAAACAAGGTGCTCCGCTCTGCAAAGAATCAGAATCAGAATCATTTTTATTGCCAACGTAAGTAACAGGAGGTCACAGACTTGGAAATTGCTTTGGCTCAGTGCAACAGTCAAAAAGAGATAATAAAAATAAGAATAAAAAACACTTCTAAAGAATAAATTTAAAATAGAGTTACAGTTACTATTTACAATATACAAGTGCACATGGTGCACACAATGTAAGGTGACAGCAGTACAGTAAAGTAAAGTGACGTATGATGGGCAGTAAAGTGACTTTATAAAGGGCGGGGGGACAGGTTAAGAAGTGTTCAAGAGTCCAACAGCAGAGGGGAAGAAACTGTTCTTGTGGCGGGAGGTTCTAGTCCTGATGGACCGCAGCCTCCTGCCTGAGGGGAGTGGTTGGAATAGTCCATGTGCAGGGTGAGAGGGGTCGGCTGTGATACGACCAGCCCGGCCTCGAGCTCGGGCGACGTACAGGTCCTGCAGCGATGGAAGGCTGCGGCCGATCACTTCCTCTGCAGAGCGCACAATGCGCTGTAGTCTCTGTTTGTCCATGACTGTGGCTCCAGCGAACCACACGGTGATTGAGGAGGTGAGGATGGACTCGATGATGGCCGTGTAGAACTGCACCAACATCTGTGCAGGCAGCTTGGCTTTCCTGAGCTGCCGCAGGAAGTACATCCTCTGCTGGGCCTTCTTGATGAGGGAGCTGATGGTCGGCTCCCACTTGAGGTCCTGGGTGATGGTGGTGCCCAGGAAACGGAAGGACTCCACAGAGGTGATGGGGGAGTCCATCACGGAGGGTGGGGGCGGGGGGACAGTGCTCTTCCTGAAGTCCACAATCATCTCCACTGTCTTCTGGGCGTTCAGCTCCAGGTTGTTACCACTGCACCAGGACACCAGCCGGTCCACATCCCTCCTGTAGGCGGACTCACAGTTGTTGGAGATGAGTCCAATGAGGGTGGTGTCGTCCGCGAACTTGATCAGCTTCACGGAGTCGTGGCTGGAGGTGCAGTGGTTGGTGTACAGGGAGAAGAGCAGGGGAGAAAGAACACAGCCCTGTGGGGCTCCTGTATTTATAATCCGAGAGTCCGAGACATTCTTCCCCAGACGCACTCGCTGCTTCCTGTCCGTCAGGAAGTCAGTGATCCACCTGCAGGTGGAATCGGGCACGTTGAGCTGGGAGAGCTTGTCCTGGAGCAGGGATGGCAGGATTGTGTTGAAGGCAGAGCTGAAGTCCACGAACAGGACCCTGGCGTAGGTCCCCGAGAGGACTGTGGGCTGTGAGCTTTCTGTTCTGGACGTTCTTTATAAATCCAGACTTTTGAAGAAAGCTCTTAGGATTATCAATGACTCTTCTGGCCGCCCTGGAAAAGCCTGTTTCCAGCTTCTTCCCTCTGGCAGAAGATATCGTTCTCTGAGATGCAGGACATCTCGTTATGCTAATAGTTTTTTTTTTCCACAAGTTGTTATCAGTTTGAACAGAGCACTTTAATTATCTTGCACTTGTATAGAAACTGTTTTATCCATCCATCCATCCATTTTCTTCCGCTTCATCCGTTGCCGGGTCGCGGGAGCAGCAGTCTAAGCAGAGACGCCCACAATTCCCTATCCACGCACACTTCCTCCAGCTTGTCCGGGGGAACCCCAGGGCGTTCCCAGGCCAGCCAGCGTGTCCTGGGTCTTCCCCAGGGTCTCCTCCCGGTGGGACGTGCCCGAAACACCTCCCCAGGGAGAAGTCCGGAAGGCATCCTGAACACATGCCCGAGCCACCTCAACTAGTTCCTGCAAACACAGCTCTGGCTCCGGTCATATAGGGACCGGACGGCCCTCAGCAGAGGACCCCGGACCCCGTACTCCCGCAGAACCCCCCAAATGACACCCCCGGGGAACACGGTCGAATGCCTTCTCCAAATCCACAAAGCACTATGTGGACAGGTTGGGCGAGCTCCCATGAACCCTCGAGTATCCGATGGAGAGTAAAGAGCTGGTCCAGTGTTCCACGGCCGGGACGAAAACCACACTGCTCCTCCTTAATCCGAGATTTGACCATCGGCCGTAGCCTCCTCTCCAGTACCTTGGAGTAGACCTTACCGGGGAGGCTGAGGAGTGTGATCCCACGAAACTGTTTTAGTCGGTCGATTTTATAGTGACATTGTTTACTTTTTTAAAATTGTTTTATTTCTGTACTTTTAGTGTTATTTTATGTCTATACTTGTCTTGTGCACACTGGGAACTTTTGCTTCTGTATTCCAATGTGGTTTTACCGCAAATGGCAAATAAATGAATCTGAATCTTTGAAAATGCATCGTATTCTACTGTAGATAAACTGTTTAACTCTGTCACCTCTAGTGTTTTGAATGTTCTGGATACCGTTGCCCCTGTGAAGTCACCAAGGTGGTTGGCAGCCTCCATGGTGGCAAGGCGCCGGGAGTGGATGAGATCCGTCCTGACTCTCTAAAGTCTCTGGATGTTGTAGGACAGTCTTGGCTGACACGTCTCTGCAACATCGCATGGCGATCGGGGGCGGTGCCAATGGAGTGGCAGACCGGGGTGGTGGTCCCTCTCTACAAGAAGGAGGATCGGAGGGTGTATTCCAATTACTCCTCAGCCTCCCCGGTAAGGTCTACTCCAAGGTACTGGAGAGGAGGCTACAACCGGTGGTCAAATCTCGGATTCAGGAGGAGCTGTGTAGTTTTCGTCCCGGTCGCGGAACACTGGACCAGCTCTATACTCTCCATCGGATACTCGTGGGGTTCATGGGAGTTCACCCAACCTGTCCACATGTGCTTTGTGGATTTGGAGGCGTTTGACCGTGTTCCTCAGGGGTGTCCTTTGGGGGATTCTCCGGGAGTACGGGGTCCAGGGTCCTCTGCTGAGGGCCGTCCGGTCCCTGTATGACCAGAGCTGCTTTCGCATTGCCGGCAGTAAGTCAGACCTGTTCCCGGTGCATGTTGGCCTCCGCCAAGGCTGCCCTTTGTCACCGGTTCTGTTCATTGTGTTTATGGACAGAATTTCTAGGCGCAGCCAGGGGCCGGAGGGGGTCCGGTTCGGGGACCACAGGATTTCATCTCTGCTTTTTGAGGATGATGTCGTCCTGCTGGCTCCAATGAACCAGGACCTGCAACAAGCACTGGGACGGTTTGCAGCCGAGTGTGAAGCGGCTGGGATTAGAATCAGCACCTCCAAATCCGAGGCCAAAATGAGCTTCCTCCGAGAGTGGCCGGGCGCTCCCTTAGAGATAGGGTGAGGAGCTCGGCCACACGGGAGGAGCTCGGAGTAGAGCCGCTGCTTCTCCACGTCGAGAGGAACCAGTTGAGGTGGCTCGGGCATCTGTTCCGGATGCCTCCTGGACGCCTCCCTGGGGAGGTGCTCAGGGCACTTCCCACCGGGAGGAGGCCCCGGGGAAGACCTAGGACATGCTGAAGGGACTATGTCTCTCAGCTGGCCTGGGAACGCCTTGGGGTGCCCCGGACGAGCTGGAGGAAGAGTGTGTGGATAGGGAAGTCTGGGCGTCTCTGCTTAGACTACTGCCCCTGCACCTGGCAACGGATAAAGCGGAAGAAAATGGATGGATGGACTCCAAAAGAGGGATTGTTCTGCCATTACCATTTCCCTGTCTTCATCCTTTGTACCGTATTTTTGGAACACTTTTGCATTTGTCCAGTGTTCTCACCACTAGAGGTGTCATGAGGAGGCATCTACAACCCACAGAAGTTGCTCGGGGAGTGATGCTCTTCCAAAATGGCATGTCCATTGGTGCTGTGACAAGAAGGTTTGCTGTGTCTCCCAGCACTGAGTCCAGAGCATGGAGGGAGATACCAGGAGACAGGCCAGTACACCAGGAGACCTGGGGGGCCAACAGAGCTCAACAACCCAACAGCAGGACAGCTATCTGCTCATTTGTGCACAAAGAAACAGGAGAAGCACTGCCCGAGCCCTACAAAATGACCTCCAGAGGGCCACAAATGTCCATGTTGGTACTCAAACGGTCAGAAACCGACTCCATGAGGTGGTATGAGGGCCCGACGCCCACAAGTTGGGCCGGTGCTTACTGCCCAACATCGTGCAGCCCGATTGACATTTGCCTGAGAACACAGCGATTGGCAGATTGGCCAATGGTTCCCTGTGCTCTACGGATGAGAGCAGGTTCACCCTGAGCACATGTGACAGACGTGACAGAGACTGGAGACGCCCTGGAGAACGTTCTGCTGCTTGCAACATCATCCAGTGTGACCGGTTTGGTGGTGGGTCAGTGATGATCTGGGGAGGCATTTCATTGGAGGGCCGCACAGCGGCTAGCCAGAGGTTCCCTGACTGGCATTGGGTACCGGGAGAGGATCCTCAGACCTATTATATGACCATATGCTGGTGCGGACTCTGAGGAGCACAGGGACTGGATTCCTGTTAGTTCCCAGAGTCAGGACTAAACATGGGGAGACTGCTTTTCAGATTGATGCCGCTAAAATCTGGAACAATCTTCCTGAAGATGTGAGACAGGCCTCCTCTCTGACAATGTTTAAAACCAGGTTAAAAGCTGTGCATACAACTGAGGGATTCTATATGTTTATCTTTCTTTTTAATGTACTGTGATTATTTATGATTGTAATGGTTTTTTGTTTTGTTCAGCAGTTTGAATTGCCTTGTGTATGAATTGTGCTATACAAATAAACTTGCCTTGCCTATTTTTCTAAGTTGGAAAGCTAGTAGACGGCTTGCACGATTACCCATTTCGTAGCATTTTTGGCCTGTAAAGTGCATCGATCCTTCTGCTTTATATGTAAGCAATTTATCAAGAGCATTCCTTTGATCCTTAAGTTGTAGTAATACATTATTGTCCCTACTAAGTTTATGCAGTTGCTCTAGTCTTCTCATTTCGTTTTCCAACTCTACTTGTTTTGCTAACCTTTGCTTCTTAAGTTGTACCCCCAGCTCAATGCATCGACCTCTTAACACTGCTTTGGCTCCATCCCACAACACAGAGGGGGATACTGCTCCATTGTCATTTAACTTAAAATACTCCTCAATTGTGTCTTTTAATTTTTTGTAAATTCTTGGATCACTCAGCATTGTGACATTCAGTCTCCAGTATCTAAATGCCTGCCTTCCATGCAGATTCAGCAACATCTTAACTAGTTTGTGATCGGATACAGTTTTTGATTCTAATACGATGTCAGAGACTCTATGAATCTCTTTTTTGGATACACATATGTAGGATAAATTAAAATGACCTCTTTCCTCAATCAAAGACATTTTGTTGTATATTGAGACATATTATAACTTCCGTCTCCACTGTGTGTAAATTCTTGTGGTTCAGGTTTTATTGTGGGCAAGAATGTCTTAAGATAAGTGCCATGGCAACACCCTTCCCCCAACAACTCTAAAACAAGGGAAGACAAACCAGTCTGCTTTGGAACCACGGAGTGACGAGACCTCCCTGGGCTCTGCTTAGGCAACCAAGGGGCCTTGGACCTCTTAGATGGCCTCAAACCTCAGCTCCACGTTTGAGAGGACTTCCACAACCCTTCAATAGCCTCCAGCTTCAACCTGAAGAAGTTGCTGAGTTTTGGCACCTAGACTGTGGATCGTGGGAGGACCACATGATGCAGCCGCATGGTCCAGGCCCCGTGGACAAGAAGCCTCCATCCAACGCCATCAAGACCCAAGGACTGCTATTCACCAAAGGCTGTTTGATAGTTGTATGATCTGCTCTCTTGTATGATCTGCTCTCTTGCTACACACAGTTGTTGGCTTTATTAAAACCTATACTTCAAAGAATACTTCTCCTACCAAGGCTGAACACATGCAGGCCTCAGCCTATACCAATCCATTCATAGACAAAGGTC